TATAACATATTTATTGTTATCAACATGAATATACTAAAGACATTGAATATATGATCTTGAATATATTATTATTAAATTTAATAAAAAAGACATGTACTATCAACATAAACTTAATGTTACATTGAAATCTATAAAACTGTATTACTTCATTCAAGAAAATATAAACATTTTGAACTAAGTACACAATAATTAATTGTACATTGTTGAAATGAAATAATAATACAGATAATATCTATACATACATTACTAAATATTCTAATTAAATAATTACTTGTGCTGATGACAAAAACACAAACTGTTTCAGTTTTTTTGATTATAAAGTTAATATTATTGATTGTGTTTTATTTTGTAAAAAGAGTGAATATAAGAAAGAAAATAGAGATGTTTATTTCTTTAAACATAATGAATCAAATAATAAATATATAATTTCATGTTCTTTCTTCAAACAATTTGAATTAATGAAAATATATATGATAATTTCAAACAAATTACATTTCTAGTAATTCTGATAAACACTTTATTATTATTATTGAAAAAATACTCTAATTGAATAAAAAGAACTATTTATAATAAAATAATTGATATTAAACATAAGAGTTATGTTATTTTGTCCTCTCTCAAAACTACTTTTCATTAATATTCAATTGAATAAAACTAGTTTTGAAGTTGAATATATTTACTTCTGTTGTTATTACTGTTAAATTTCATAATACTATTACTCTTATTAAATCATATACACCATGTATTATTAAGAATGTTTCTGATACAATCACTTCTACAAACACCAAATTAGATACATATGCTGATACAATTAAATATCTTATTAAAAGTATTATTACTAAATACATATTCAAAACTAAAGACAAATGCATAAATTAGATTGAATGAATTGATGATCAAACAACTAAAAATATTAGTAATAAATGGATAACAATATTGAAATTATTTGTCTAATGAATACAGATAATTTATCAGTGACAAGAAACATAACAACAATATAGATGATAGTGTACCAATTATAATTATTTGTATATATTATCATTACATTTCTTCTAATTAAAATTATTCAAATTTAACTTTATTTGTAGAATTTATTAATATAATATACAATTGAATAATGTAAAATATTTGATTTATAAATAAAAGATTATTTGAATAATTAATTTTTATCAATATAATCATTATTAAACATAGAAATAATGAATTAGAATAATAAATAATGATAATAAAATAATAAAATAATAAATAAAATCTAATTTATAAACCAATTTCATTATTAATAATCAATTTATTTCATTTAATTTATTACATTATTAGAATATTATAAATAGAATAAATTGTAATCAAAGAAAAATTTGTTATGTTAACATATAAATTAATAAATAACAATGAAATAATAACAATATTTGTATCTTAATAATAAAAATAATTAATTATTTGATTTCTTAACTAATTTTAATATCTACATTATTTATTTCTTCTTTTATTTATTTTATCTTGTTCAAACGTATTAACATAGTTCATTGATACTTTATAATTATTATTTACTAATTAGAATAAGAAATTATAAAAATAATTCCTTAATTCTTTCTTTTCAATTATTCTAATTGCTCATCTGTTTATTTTATATAAACTTTAATGATATTCTTAAAACAATATTTATTTATTATATTTAATCAAGTATCATAATGATTCAATTAATGTTATTAATGACAACGAAAAAAAAATTAAATAAGAGAAAGAACGATGAAAAATGAAGAGAAAGAAGTGTATGAAAGAAAAAGTGAAATTAGGAAGTAGAAGAAGATGAAAAGAATAAAAGTAGAAAGTTAAGGATATAAAAAGAAAGAAGATAAAAAGAATTATTTCTAAAAGAGATAATAAAATATGAAAAGAAGGAAGAAATAATGGGTGTATTTTTATTACAGAAATTAGAAATGTGCAATAAAAAGCATTTAATTTATTGATAAAAATTATTTAACAATATTTTATTGATATAATTTATTTTATTCATTTTTCTTTTTGTGATTTTTATTTTGATAAATAATTTCTTCTATTGTTTTAGTTCCCCTAATAATATATGTTTATATTAATATACTTTTAATTAATCATTCTTTATATTGATATAAAATCTCTTACATCCATGTTGTATTGTTTGTTTTATTTTATTACTCATTAATAAATATTATTCAAATTTATTTTTAATAAATGTATAAATACTTTTAATATATAACTTAAACATGTAATATGTTGTAATTATTATAATTTAATTGATTTCTTTCTTTATGTATTAATATATCAGTGCATTTTATAACTTCATTTTATATGTTTAATGATTGCTTAATCAATTCTTTATTTATTTATTTTATTGATATAAGATATTTTATCAAAAATCATTCAATTAAATCACTTCCTGGATTTTTCAATTTTTTGTTCATTTGATTATGTATTTTATTTCTTTATCTATTATTTTATTTATCATTCATTTCTATTCATACATTATGTATTTCTTCTATGAATCGTTCATTTATATCATTTGTTTTTTCTTTCTCTTTTATTTCTTTCTATAATGATAATGTATTTTATTTTCTTGTAAATTGGGTTATTTATTGTATGATTTTGGTTTTAAATATTTTATTAGTAATAAATTGTATTTTTTTTCTTAATTACTCTTTTATCTTCTATTTCTTCTTTCTAGTATTAATTAAATATGCTATTAATTCTTACTTGTGTTTTTCATCTTATTTATATTATTATTTTTACGAGTAATATTCATTTGATTTTTGTATATTTATTGTATTTAATAGTTTTGATTTTTTTATTTTTGATATTATTTTATCTTTAATTGTTCTTTCTTTTATTGGTATTTTATTCTATCATTTATTTGATTGATGATGTAAATGAACATTTATAATTTATAATTTCATTTAATTTATTGAGATAAATATTCATGTTATTTTATTTATTTATCATTCTTTGATTTTGATATTATTGTATTATAAATTTTAACTATTTTCTCTTATATTTTCTCTTATATTTTCTTTTATTATCTATATTAGTTCTTTCTCTGTATATCCCTTTTTATTATTAATATTCTATATTTTATTTATTATTATTTTATCTTTTATTTATATTATTTTATTTCATTTTCAACTTTAATACATATACTTCTTTTAATTTGATTATATAATTTCATTGATTTATAGATTAAATTATTAATCTCAATTAGTATATATAATTATAATTAAATTCGTTTGTTAATAAAGTCATCATGATTTATTTGATTTATTATTTTATTTATATAATTAATTACTAATCAATAAATATATTAGTTGTTTGTTATTTAATATTTCTTCTATTAATAATTGTGATTTCATTATATTCCGTGTTATCATTTGTTTCTTGTATCATTAATTGATTTAATGTTGTTATATTTAATTCTTTAATTGGACTCTATTGGTTTAGATATATTATTTCTAGATACTTCATTTGTTGTCGTTCATGTTCTGTCTGTTATTTAAATATTTGTGTATTGTGTTTTAATTATTTCAGATATTAAATCATATTAAATTGTATAAACATTTTCTGTATTTTCTTTTTGTATATTTATGTCAATTATTTATTTGTGTTTTAATATCATTCTTTATTATTTTATTTTATTCTTATGATTTTATTGATTTTATTAATTAAATGTGTGAATATATTATTAATAAAATGAATGATTTATTAATGAATTAAATTTAATTCGTTATGACTCTTTTTATATATTTCATTATATTTATTTAAATATTTTATTTCATTATTTTCTATATTTTTCATTATTTCATTAATTAATATTATTTGTTTATTAAAACTATTATTTATTTCATCACTTTATTATGAATAAGATTACTAATTATATCTTTCATTTCTTTCATTGTTGTATTTTTTTTAATTCAATTATCCATTCTTACATACTCTTATAATCTGTTTTTTTTCTTTTATAACTTCTTCTATTTTGTATTCTATTTTCATAATTTTATTTT